TTTTACCTTCATTTTCTTCACACCAGCTAACACGAATATGCGCATGTATATCTGAGATATACGGTTTCTTTGCTGCGCTACGGGAATGAAGTCCAGCATCGTACAATACATTTGCGTCAGTCGATACACTACAGTTAAGACCTAAATTGTTGACAATTTTGCGGAGTGGTAAATGTCGTTTTTCGTTAACTTTACACAAGAGTAGTTCTTTTTGGTGGTTATTAAGGATAGGTGGTCTTCCAGAACGTGGTGAGTTTTCACTTTTTCTTTTTACTTCTTAATGACGCGCCGTATTGTTGTGGGATTGTCCAAACATTTTTGCGATTTGGGCGGCATTTATGATTTCCATATATGCCAGAATCTTCCCTTTTTTCAATTTCGTTTAATTGTGTACGGGTGGACGCCATTTCTTCACGATAAAATGTTAACGTATCGTAAAAAGTAAACAGAACTTTTTGGGGTCGGTTAAAGCGTAGTCCATCCGATAATCTGTCCGAAAAACAAACCAATGAGGATGCGTAAATTTTCAATCAACCCGGAAAAACAAATTTGAAGCAAAGACAAAAATACCGATACGGAAAACAGGTGCTTAAATCTTTCTTGGAGCACTAATTAAAAATGTCGGGAAGGCAATTTTTGATCTCCTTCCCAACCCTAATCCTAACGTTAAAATTATTTTTAAGACATGTCACATGATGGACTACGCTTTAACCGTTCTCTTTTTGGGGTACTGTATATGTACGTACTGGTACATACCGATATGTACACGTAATACCGATACATTGATTTCATTTGTGAACCATGCAACATCAACAAAAATGCTACGTTCTATCGCTATAGCGATTGATAATAAAAAAGAAGCTCGCTATTGCTATTGCCAATATAGAGTTTAATAACTCTGATAGTGATATTAATCCAAATTTGAATGATATTCATGAAACAACAGAAAAGAATGAAATTGATACAGAATCTCAATCTGATAACATTATTGCCTCTACAGTATATCTTTACCACGTAGTATCTCCACGAATTCAACTAATCAAAGTACAACTACAACTTTTCCAACGAAAAGAGAAAAAAATCGACATGCAATGAAAAACAAAACTAAAGACCATTTCACCATCGTCGTTATTGCTGTCGTCGTTGTAATTTGTGCTCGAGAATCGATTTTGGGAATTGATTCCTATCCCTAGTTCTAATGACTTATTGAAATATTCGAAATGTTAAACATAAATATTCTAATTTGAAAAAATTGTAAAATATGATATAAATATTGTATACAGCATAATTAAGCAATCTTTTTTGGACAATATGCTAAATAATCAAACAAAGGAATAAACGTTTATATTATTTGTTGTATTGTTAAATTGCATTTTGGGACGTGTAAAATAAAAAATACGATACTTCTAAAGGTATAATATCGAAAATCAAAAATACTCGTAACTAAATCTGAGATTCGTGAATAGCATAATAGATTAATGAATAAAATAAATATAAAGTAAAAATCACAAAAGTATGTCTTTTCTCAATTCGATAAGCTTTTTTTTGAAGTTAAAGTCATAGTTGCAATATACATGTATCGATATTAATTCACTTCTTATGACCACAAATTCGATAATGATTCATATAAGTAATAGTTTTCTCCGCCTCAATAGATATTGTTTCTACAAGAGCGTCATAATGTTCGGGCATTATATTCATATTGGTTGCTAAAAGGATTCTGGTAGAGCTGATACCATCAGTGTAAAATCTTAGAGTCTTTGTGTGCAAACAAGTGGAAATAATATTAATGTTAGATAAAGCATTGTGAATAAATTCGTTAGTTTCATATTACCTCTTCGCCAGATTTACCACCTTTCTTGCCTAAAACTATATCTTTTTTTTTATATTTAATTTCCGAAAACGCGTTTGTGTTTTCAAGAAAGCGCGGAATCTCTTCCCCGATTATATAGTTCATTCCCTTCGACGTCATGAAATTTCGGACTAAACAATCAACTCTGTTATTTTAATTAACGATACAAAGACACCAAAAAAATAGCTTTCCTTACTTGCTTCTGAAATTCTCTTTGTAACGTTTCCATCAGATATCAAACAACCATTACCTTCTACCATCTCAACCCATCCATCTGGTCGAGTTAACCTTGTTATTTCTGGGATAACTTTCTCTTCCCATTGTGCTTGCGTAAAAGCAGCAGTCAAGAATTTTTGGTGAATGAAATCGAATGATGCATCTTTATATGGTAATATATCTAACACATTATATTCGACAAACTCCACGTTTAAAGGAAGACCTTCTGTTGGAAAAATAGGAGATAGATCTATTCCTACAAACATTGAATTAGGATATTGCTTTGCCATATCCTATTTTTTACGAATTAACATATTGATTTAAATAGCCATTTCTAATAAAGAAATGAAAATCTGTTTACCAAAATCCAAGTTCCAGCTCCGCATCTTTTTAATATTTTTTATATTAAAAAAAATGATATTGAAAAATGACCAATCAGTTTTTATAATAAATATAACCTAAATGCATACCCTAAATCAATAACTCGAGCTCCTTTTCTCAACTTCTCTTCAACAGGTGAATGAAACAAACCTCCCCAAATCTCTTTTAATGCTAAAATTTTATTAGTATAATACTATTAAAATCATAAAAATTTCTATGAAAAAAAACTCGATATAAAAACAAAATTTTCTTACCGTCATGATATCTAATTAAACGATCAGCTTCTTGATCATCATTCGGAACAAAATACTCTGAATTCGAAATATTATGAAATCGTCTACCACCGATAATGCGGAACCTCACTTGTCCATCTTCCTCTTCGATAAAGCGTCTAGAACAACTGCATCCCATTTTTTTTTATTTATTTATTACAAATATCACAATCCTTTTATAATTACTGTAGCATGACCCAATTAGATACACATTTCGAACGTATTGCACTCTTGAATCTGATTTGCTAATAACTTACAGTGACGAGGATCTAAAAATGGAAAATACAGTTCGCATTTTTTGCATGTAATATGTACATACATGTATTAGCGTTAGCGTACTTATGCCGTCTGACAATAACTCAATTTGTATCGTTATCGTTATTGTTACGTATTCTGTAACAAAGTACATGTACATGTATCGGTACGTACTTTTCATCCTGGCCTGGTTAATGTCACACAAACAAATGAACATTAACGTTAAAAAAATCGTTGCAGTGAATGTTTTGATTTCGTGAAGATAAATAAATTAGCGAAAAGAATGCACAAAATTAGAAGACCACAAAATTTAGTATCATTTGAATTACATGTACCAATTAACTCTTAATAATATCGATATTAATACGTACATTTAATGTATTTATCACATGATTTATAATAAATGATCTGCATAGCAAACGAGTTAATAAAGTTATCGTTATCGTTATGTTTGTCGCGGGTAAATTAGGTGAGAATAAATAGACTCAACGATATTTGTTAGCGTTAGTATCTACAGTGGCCGTCAAATGTTTTGCATCACACAAAAAATAAAATTATAAACTCAATACGTAACGATAACATTACATACAAACATCTGGAACTCACATTGTTTACCAAATGTTGCAAAACATGTAAATATAATTCTTTATACGTAATAATAATCACTAAATTGAAATAATAATGATCGATGCAATTTTACATGATGCTTTTTTTGACTGTTTACGATGCAAATAATTTAAAACTGATATTTAAATAACTAACGACTAAAAATTTACGAAATTCAAATAAACTATTCTTTACCACTCAGTATACCCTCTTTAGTCTCAATTATATCATTTATTCGTTCAGGCATACTTTCAATTAGACTAGCTAAAAAGTTATGATCTTTTCTATCCATATTTTTTGAATAGCTTTCCATAACTCATCTTGAGTATGAACTGGAATTTCTAAGCTTTTCAAACGTATATCCATCTCATTTTAAAGATGTTCTATAGGGTTGAAGTCGGGAGATTGTGGTGGCCATTCTAATAACTCAATATCATTATCGTAAAACCACATTATTGGACATGTGTTTTGGATCATTATCTTGTTAAAAGATCCAGTGATGATTATGCATCACATCCGCATTGTCATACAAGTAATTATTTAGTATTTTGCAATATAAATCATAATTCAAAGTTTGAGTAAACATATATATTCCAATTTTTCTCTTAATGCTAATCATTAACCAAATATATACTTTAAATAAATATTTTACTATCAGTGTACTAGGCTGTTATTATATAACTATACAAGAAGAATATTATTATAGTTTCATCAGAAAAAATCACTTTTCACCAGTTGTATCACATGTGATCATGAGTCCATTTTAATTAATTGTCTTTTGTTTGTTGGGTCAAAAGAGAAATTCTTCAAGAATATTTTGGATAATAAAATTGCAATAAATAATAATAAATAAAGATCAATTTTTATTGAAGTAATAATTTATTACCCATTTTGATATAATAAACAAATATATCAGACTAATATGATTACTGCATCCAAAAAAAACCAAAGTGTATTCACATCACTATTCCTATTATCAGTAACTATATTTATAATAATAAAAATATAATTATTATTTCATTATTTAATAAATTGAATTTATCTATAATATATTATAACACATTTTGATAGCAATTATTTATTAATTCAATAAATTAATTATATTTTTAAATATATATAATTATGTATTAAAAGTTTTGTATAATTAAATATTTTTTATAATTTTATAGAATTTTTTTCAAAAATAAAATTGTTTGATAACTATTAATAATATTATAATTAAAATATATTTATATTGTATTATATATAGTATAACTAAAATAACATATTCTAAAATAATTTTTTATTATTAAATAATAAAATCAAGTTTAAATAATATTCGATTTTGTATATAAAAAATATTTAGTTTTATAATTTTCTAAATTTTTATATATTTTTTAAAATATAATACAAAGATCTAAAATTAAGTCAAGAAATTATTTACAAAATAAAACAATTTGAATATTTTTTATAAAAAAATTAAAATTTTGAAAATTAAAAATTTAAATTTTTTTCAATTAATTGTTAAAAAAATAGTTTAATTTATTGAAGATTATAAAAAAATATATATTTTTTAGAAATTTATATTTTAAAGTTAAATTTTTAATATTAATTTATTATATTTATATTAATTTTTGATAATTAATCAATTTTAATTTTGCATTATTAGAAAATTTTTATTTTTTTAATATTTTATATTAAATTATTTTAATATTATTAAAAATATTTAGTTTATAAGATTATTGATAATTTAAATATTAAATTTTACTCTTAATAAATATAATCAAATTTTTTTGTTTATAATTATATATTTTTAATTATTTTATTTTGCTTTTTTATTTTATATAAATATATTAATAATAAAAAATCTCTTTATAATTATAATTATTTAAATTTGCTTTACTAAAATAATAATTAAAAAATGAATAAAATGAATAAAAAATCTTTGCTAGTAATTATTGGCGGCGAAATAAATAATTATCACGTAATTTAGAAAAAAAATTAGAGAGAAATTTTAGGCTCGGCAGGTTAAGCCTTATGTGCTAGAATTTGCTTTTAAAAGAATTTAATTATATTTAATTAATTAATTTTTTTAATATATAAAACATTTTAATATTTATTTTTCTTTATTATATTAATAATAATACTTTATTTTAAATTTTCTTTTATAAATATTTATATTTTTTATTTTTTTATTGATATTTTCAATTAAGTACAAATTATTTATATTTTGCTTTATTTTTGATATTTATAATAAAAAATATGTATATTTTATTTGAGTCCTATTATAAAATATTGTTTTAAAGATATAAATAGTAAATAATATATTTAGTTTAATAATAAATTATTAAAAAAAATTATAAAACTATTTATAAATATAAATAAATTATTAAAATATATTAATAATAATATATTTAAAAAATAATATAATAATTATTACAAGAAGAATTAAACCAGTCTTTTATTATATTATAAATAATATTTTTTATATTTTTTTATTAAAAAATAGCTAAATATAATAAAATTTGTAATTGCAAAATTTGTAATAAATAAATATTTAATTAATAATTTAAAAAATATAATAATTATTTTTTGTAATATTAAAATATATTTTTATATAAATTTAAAAGTATTTGACTTTATATATTTAACAGTTTAAAAAATAAAAATTTGTTATAATAACAATATAATTATTAAATAATTTTATTTTGAAATATTATAATATTATCTAGTTTTATAATAATATTTTAAAAATAATTCTTGTTTTGTACTTGAAAAATTATTTTAAATATTATTTAATAAATTCAAAAAATAATACAATTATTAATTACTTTATAAAATTTTGTAATAAATTTTATTTTATTAATTTTGTTTGATAATTATTAAAATTTTTTATTAATTTTATTTGATAATTATTAAAATTTTTTATAATATTTTAGAACTTTTATAATAATACAAAATTCGATATATTTATATATTTATATATTTATCTTTTTATATATTATTAGTATTTTTATCATTTTTTATAATATATTTTTATATTATTAGTATTTTTATTATTATATTTTTAATAAATTATTAAATTTAGATTTGTAAAAAGTAAATAATTAAATATTATTTTATTAAAATTTATATATATTAATATATTCAATATAAAAAATAATGATGATCATATTTTTGCTAAAATTCATCAATATCTATATTATTAAATATTATAAATTAATATTTTTAAATAAATTTGATTCAGTTTGAACTTAAATCAGATTCAAATTTAATTAAAAATCTAATTTAAGTTTAGTTAAACTTTAAATCAAATTTAAATACAATTAAAAGTTTAGTTTGAGTTCAATATTCAAAAAAAATTCTAAGTAAAATTATAAATAATAATTTGAATTATAAATTATTTAAATAATTAATATTAAAAATAAATATTCAAAAAATTATATAAATTTAAAAAAATATTTTTAATTTTATTATTTTAATTGCTTTAATTATATTATAATAAATATTAAATTTAAAAAAATAATATTTTGGCAAATAATTTAGTTTATAAAATTCAAATAGTTTTGAAAATAATTTCAAATTTAATTTTGTTAAGTTAATTTGACAAATTATTTAATTAGATAATATTATTTTGTAATTAGTCTTATTAAACTATTATTTAAGTAAGATTATAATTAAAAATAATAATAAAATAATAATTATTTATAATTATATTTTTAATTAACTATTATAAATTTATTATAATTCTCTAAATTATTTTACAAGTTATAATTAAATAAGATAATATTTTTATTTAAAAATAAAAATTAAAATTTAATATATTATTTCACATATTTTATTAATATTACTATAGTAATATAAATTTCACTAATTCGATA